ATCTGCCTTTCATATGTTAGGACGGGCGTGCACAACTGCATGATAGACAATAGCAACCATGAACTTGACCGCATGATCACTTCTCCCGATAGGTAGAAGGAGAGTTACTTGGGTGACATCATCACTATGTGTGAAGATTAGGTCTAAGAGAGAGGAGGAGTTTTGTTGGTCATATGTGGTCGGATCATTAAGGTTCTGGAATAAAACTAGGACAATTATTATTTCTCATAATTTGCGATCAAACTATGTTTTTGATTACCCTACTTTTAGGTTTCTCCAATTTATAGACGGTGCATTAAAGTCGCCTTCTATAAGGCTTTTGCCCCTGTTACAAAAAGATTTGAGTTTGCTAAGGAGGATTCGATCTTGGTTTTGTAACTCTTAGAATGCCTTCTCAAATGGTTATTCCTAGATGGAGGGGAAAGACACGACATATTAATGCTAAAATCGTCGTTCACTATACGGTAAGTCGGTAATAGGTCAACATGTAACCTGAGGTAAAATAACAGAAAAAGGTTGAGGCGTCCCAGTCTGTCTCCATAAGATAAGTCGGAGAGACCCACTTTCAAATTGTTATTTCACCGTTGAGCTCATTTTAGTATATCTGACAAATACTTGAAGCGAGAACTCGTTGAGTCACATATGCAAATGAGGCCTCACAAAAATCGAATATAATAGCCTAAATATTTTTCGGTCCAAGTGGTGAAAAGAATTATGAATAGCCAGTAAGACAAGGCAGTACAATTCTCTACTTCAAACTACTCAAAAATTTTACTTATTCAACATGTAAGATGGTTCTTGCCCGAGATTCACATGAATACGAACCTCGAAACAAAGTATCTACGGTCAAAGTTGAGAAAGACAGATCAAAACTCGGCAAAACTTCTTTCTCATCAAGTACGCAATAATTTGGAACAGTCTTCCCTCTGAAATACGCACGACAGATAAATTACATACGTTTGTAAGACTGCTTGATCAAGCCCTCATTTGCACTGGTCTAGCACGTACGAACACATCTGTGCCCCACTCAGACATCATAGGCTCTCTACATGTTTGAACTAAAATGGACTTCACGTTCAGTTTGCCGTATTTTTCCTACTTCGCAGTTGTTTTAGTTACATTTTTCACTCTATTTCTTCACTTAAAGTAGACGGGTAACTCACTGGGCCTATCGATACTGTTCAACTAAACTCGGTTGCTAAGAGACAGTCATTACCACTCCAAAAAGTCAAGAGAACCGCTCAATCGACTGCCTACTACCAGTGGTCTTGCATTTATGAAGCCTGTTACCCATCAACTGATTAGGACAACACAAAATATTATCAGCAAAAAGTTAGTGTGAGTTTCTTCCTGTTTATTGTCACCTTATCTATAAGTCATATACTTCTATACTTTTCCGCCTGCTTTAATAAACAACTATCCTACATTACACACTTCTTATAGCCCATATTCTGATTGGCAAACTATACTTTATACCATAGTCAATTAAAGCGCTGAATCGATGCCTTAACCACAGTCCATAATTCGTAACTGACTGATAAGTTTGTAAAATGATAGTTATAGAAATAGTGGTTTCCAACAGGATGGGAAATACAGGGGATTGTGTGTATGTATCAGGCCCTTTATGCTTGAGAATAAGTCAATCAACCTGCGATATCGATTGTCTTCCTACACTCACCACTCAGACACATGTTTTCAATTATAGGCTGGATTAGTTATTCTGCCAAGACAGCCTATATAATGCTAACTCGGACTTTTACGCTAGGATTGTGTGGCTGGCGTGGGATGGACAAAAAAGAAGAGAAAGAAAAAATCAGACAATAGGGGATATAATTAGTAATATCCCTAACACTTCACCCTCTATATGCATACTCCCCTCTAATAAACTGCTTTCCTTGTACCAACCTTGACTTCCTTTCCTTCATACGAGCTTACTCCAACTTGTTAAACATCACAACTCATTGTTCTTTATAGCCACATTCTTTCAAATGGAGCCTCTGACTTCATTTCACTCTAACAAGAGATAATAGGAATTTGATCTAATCTATTATACCTCTGTCTGTTCTACTTTTATTGAATTCGAATTCGACCTCACAAAATGATCGTGTGTATGAGACTTCAGGCAGTTGTCGCTTGGCTACTGAGGTCACGCTATCAGGTCACTAAGACCACTTTTAACTGAAGCTCCTTTTTGTGTACTTTTAGAAGAACTGAATTTATCTTCTTTGTAATAACTGATTAGTGGCGAATTCCATGTTGTATATTTCTTATAATGGTGTTATTTGTGCCCATTTCTAAATAAATTGATTTATAGCTTCCATTTAACCTAACACTCGCATTTAACTTTCAGGTACATTAATTGCTAATCACCCATCTATGAGCACTAATATGGATAAAAAATTCACCATATTATCAGAAAATTAAATTCAGGGCATGCCTCTCACCACTACACACACGATGAACTACTTATTGTCAGCTGTATATGCAAACTTCATTAAATCACCACTACTGTCTCATGACAAAAGATATATTCATTAATAGCAGTGCATTTATTTTTGTAGTATAACTGTGGCATAATTCTGCCACATTCATTGTTTTCTTTTGAATTTTACTATAATGAGCACTCAATGAATGTGCCCTTCATACGTTAAGATATTAATTACTGACAAAAGCAATGTGTTTCGGTGTTTTTTCGCGGCACTTTGGTATACTAGCCTGTGTTTTATTGCCATAACTGCACTTACATTTATTCTCAGGTGACCTGCGAATCTTTTTCATTCTGAGGTTTCAAATTATAGAAACAGTAATCAGAATAACATTAAAGTTTATATTTTGACCGGAACACTAATAGCCGACAGTATATACAGACCATAGAAATTCCCAGGTCTGCTTATCAATTGTATGTTCTGAATAAGTATATTTATGTCTATTTCTCATATTTGAGTAAGTTCGAATCAGGAATCTCTTAAATGAGCTCGATTTCCGTAAACAGAAGTTTGGTCTTCGAATTCAAACTGTCGTCATTCTTGGTGCTGTGGTGTACAATTAACCAGCAGACCACATCATATAGAAAGGAATCCAACAATAATATTTCTCTAGTTTGAGTAGTTATTAGCGATAGCTATAAGTGACCGGACATACAAACATGCAAGGTAGACAACAAGCTGGTCTCTAACGCCTTTAGTAAATACAAATCTTACCCTCAAATCCGCATGACAACATTAAGCTTAACGGGTGATTTGTCTATAAAATCTGAGGCATGTACGATTTAATTGTTACAATTACCACAGGATTTACATTGACAAGTTGCTCACTTAGGTTGATATGTCGAAGTGCACATTGGTTATGGAAACATGGGATAAATAGGTGCACACAAAAATATGAATATTAGTAAATCTCATTTGTTCAATATAAAAGTTGGCGGGATTGTGGTTGTGTTGCGACAAGAAACTGATAATTGAAAATATATTCAAGTAAAGTTCAGAGCTACTTATAAAATGAAGTAATGCGACAGATGCATAACCAGTGAGTCAAAGACGCTAACTTTAGCGTTACATTTTTTTGCTTCTCGATAATAGTGAAGGCACAGGCCAAAGTGATACGTTACATAGATATGTGTTTGGTGGTATACTACAAGGGCACTAAAAAAAGGATGGAATAAGGGAAGGTCGAGAAACAGATTAGACAATGCCCATAACTAGTGAAGTTCAGTCATTTGTGACGGGATTATTAAGGTATGAAGACTTATACACATTTCCTTTTACTTAACGAATTCTTAAGCGCGTGTATTTCAACAGGCTAAAGAAAACGAACAAGAGTATAGTGACAACTGGACAAAAGACCTTATAAATGTAAGTGATTCAGAGAAGACAGAAGTTTAAGTTTGTGTATATCCTTAAGATTCAGTAAAGAAAATACCGTGTTCGGACACCAAATGGCACGTTTATTAGAGGTTAATATACGTCATTTTTATTGCTGCAAATCTTGCAAAGTGATGATTGAACTTTCTTAGCGCAATTGTCTAGTCTTGCTTTTAATAGGATTTCTCGGTGGAAGATGAAGCTGATTGAAGGCTACAGACACGAGTCAATGAAGTATTTGGCAAAAGAAATAAGCGTAAATACCATTGGTTAGTTACACCTCGCTAAATGACGAGGATTCACAATTTATTGAAATATTCTGCCCTACAGACGTAGATATATGTCGAAAGGTAAAGTTAATTCACTTATACCCACTTATACCAATATACAGGGATACCTATTTATTAACATCCTCAAAACAGCTGTCGTAAGTATGTTCAAAAAGAACATACTTTGTGCTACTACTTCAGGTACATAACATGATACCAATGTTTTGTATTAATTATAAGTAACATTTGATCTTAACGGTGGCCCGCTTGAATATCTGGACTACCTGTTCCTGACATCATCAAATCTCAACAAATATCTGCCGTTTGTTTGTTTCAACGCATCATTAGATCAATTAATCGCATAACCGATTCAGGTGCGTTTATGAAACGTTTACGAGTACAAGCTACAGAGGAGTACAATCAGAGACATCGTGGTTGCTGATAATGTGCACCGTAAAAAAGATGCCGACTCCTGAACTGCTGATATCGAAATTGCGATTACTCAATATTTACCGTCAGGATCGATCAAGAAATAAGCGAAGGAAACTTGTTGAAATAATTTGTGTTGAGGATTTCATATTATACCAAGAATATAATATTGAATAAAACAATTTATAACAATAATAATGACAACAATGAAACCATTAGTTATGTGTGGGCATATTTATTTCGGTATCGGAAATGTCATTTATCGCATTTATGCATGATACACTGTGTGATTCACAGTCTATCGACTGAAAATTGCATCACGGTCCATAAATATGGTGAAACACTGTAGCGACGTATAGTCCAAATATCAAAGAATCTGTTAATCTATTTTTACTTCAAATTATCAGGAATTCTAACCACTTCGGAGATTTAAACTCACATGATGCGAACAAGTAATGGTGAATCAATACCATTGAAACTGTTGATTGATAATGAATCTAGTAATATCATGCATCGATTAAATATACAAGTTAGTAGTAGTTACCATTTTTAATTACTTATTCAGGTTTTGCTCATTTATTTTAATTCATTCAATGAACATATTACAATACATGAAAATCTGATTCAATTATTCTATATACTGAGATGCTACCAATAAATGAACCACAGTATTTGGTACTAGTCAATTAGGTTTAATCAAGTTGATGTCATGTGATTCCAGTCTATGTGCAATTGATTGATTACTGGGTGGTGGTCAGGGTCATGTGTGTCAAGTGTTTCTTAGTGCAGACTGAATCCTATCGACCAAGTTGAACTGTGGTCACTAGTCTAGGTGACTCGAAATTGTAAATAAATCTCAGTCCTACAGGAAGTCAGTTGCGTCCCGGATAGCCCAGTGATAATGTGTTTGGCTATGGAGCGGGGAGTTTCATTTCCTTGAAGATTACAGGTACACTTTGCTGACGAGTGCCAAATATCACGAAGTCTAGGTTTATGGTTTCCTGTCTACTACCACCAACTACCATCTGATTCCAGGCTAGATGATTTCCTATGAGAAATAATTGTGTTGATTTGTGGGTCTTTCGATGTGCGAAGTCGAATAGGCAGATATGTTCATGATATGTCAAATGAATAGAACTAAATATAGATGTCTGGATAAACGATTCAACCTGATTGTACAAGTAGATCATCCTTCCGACTGAGCGAACAGACGTTCGGCTATTAATAGAAAACGCCTACCACTTGTATTTATTTGATATTGGAAATATGTTTTCGAATTATGTTAATTCATTAAATATAGACCTAGTGGTTGTTGAAAATAGTCCATATCGTTATTGCTGATTGATTTGTAGATATCCAAGTTTTTGAGGAATATTAGCAGGTTTGTTTGTGTAGCTTAGATGTCACAGGGTACAAGTCACGATTTCCCGTAAGGACTTCAGTATTGGATGTATCAGAGTTAACGCTATCTATCTTCCAAACACAGTTCAATTTAGAGGCGATAAGGATCTGCTTTGATTGAAACTGAAGTAGTTTTTCGAAAACGATGTGTGTGAGCATTTGGAATTAATAATCTCCTGATTACTATCAATAGAACTGAATGGGTAGATTCGAAATTTATTCGTTGGTCAGGGTAGAGAGAGAAGATCTATTAAAGCTTTTAAATGTGTAGGTCAGTAGAATTCTTTTGATATTCGTGAAGTATATGAGGAAATATCTGAAAACACAGTACGTATTGGATTGTAATAGACAAGTTGTTGTGTATTCATTGTTAGCGAAAACCCCTCATCACCAATTTGTTGAGGCTTTTGAGCCCGGCTAATTATCACGTGACTTATTCGCCAGTCAGAATACGACATAGTACTGTTGAGATCAAGATCAAATTACTAAGATAGCTAAGAATAGGTGCACTTCACATGCCTGCCAAATCATTATAGACAACATTATACATAATAAATGACACAACAACAAACCAGAGATCGTCTGCATGATAAATTGTAGCAATTATAGGAACCACTGTATAGGCTAGAGTGACCCACCTCTTTATCTGCACTTAATTGAACACTAGATAACAATTAAATACCACAATACACACAACATAATTATGATTAATTCAAAATCATATTGTATTGTATTGTCCACATTTTAGTTTTATATTGATAGACATCCAACATATAACTAACTATAGTATGTTAGGTGTGTTAGTCAAAAGGGGAATTGACTTTATATATTATGACTATTTGGTGAGGAAAAATCATCAAATCACTTAATTTTACTGGTTATTGAATAGAAAATAGGCGATTCAAGTACATTGTCTTCAGTATTCACATTTTATAGGTTAATCAATGGAGACCTTAGATAGTCTTGAAGGAACTCAATAGAGAAATCTTTACCCATAAATTGAGTGACACGTTTCTTACTCCCATGAAGAACTTCAGCCAATCGAATATTGCAAGTGCACCTTTCTGATAAATGTCATCCAAGATAAAACCTAATTCGCACGGTTTTATGCCGACTACATTCCAGCACTTGACACAAAGTATAGTGAGCAAGAAATTACGTCACCTAAACTAACAGTCACATAGCAGTTTGCTCAAAGTAATTTGATCGGTAATAATGACTATACAAACACGATACGATCCAATGTATTCCTTGAACTCAAATCTATGAGCACTTTTCAAGCATATTATTTAACGAATCATAGTAAATTCCAGTATAGTCTCTTAAATCCTTGGAACCACCATTTTTCAATTCTCCCACGAAACCGAAATGTCTCGTGTTTATAACTAAACAATTTGATTGGAATCATGAATCACAACCACCTCTACATTTCCAGACTGTACGTAATTTAAAACTAGAACAAAACAGTTACATCGTGTTCTTTGATATTCTTAAGGTGTCTATTTCAGATTGACACGTTCAGTGAGAGGAAGAAATAAGCAAGATGATAAATTCTAAAAGGGATTGTGCACCAGAAGGAGACCAGACAATTCAACTGATGATATCAATGTAATCATCTTCACACAGTAAATTATAATTCAAGAGTAATTTCAACATATGATAAATGTAAATTGCATTCTGGTGTTTTTATTACTTTAGGTAATACAAAATGTTGAGATCACATCATTCAAATGGCGTACAATGCGTTGCAATGTTGTTGATATGGAAACAGAAAGATGTTTTCCCATTAATCCACACACTACAGGATGGAATGAAATCTTTCAATTACGACCATCATTACAATAGATAAGAGGACAAGCGGTTGTTGCTTTGGATGGTAAACTGAAACGTCAAGACACAAATCTTGCTAGTTCTACCCTAATAAAAGATTACAGAAAGAAAGAAAATATGAGTATTATTGTTCAGTATATGGTATGTCATCGTTTATTTGTTTCTTTTTAGCAGGTTTTATTTGTTATGGATTCGCATCATTTGAAACCAGTGATAACACAAACGGAAGAATTGTAAAATATTAGGAATCGTTGAACAGTTTCCAGTGTCTTTTTGATAATTCATAATAGTGTACGGTCAGAATACCTACTAATACGTAATTTAGCATTGTGTGAAGCTTTGACAGACAACATCAAACTCAAGTTTGAATTGAAGCAATAGCTTATTGAATGAAAATTAATGGAGTTCTTGTTATTTTCATATCTTGTCTTCAGTATCATCCTGAAACTGATGAACTCTATCAACTTTAGGATACTAGATGTTTTCAGGTGGCAAAAGAGATTGTTCAGTGTGAATTCAGTTCAGGAATAACACTGTCATCATTCCAGAACGGCTATTATTGATAATCAATATCTTAACTATAGTTGATTCCTATACCTTTTAATTGCAATTAGATTGACTAGGATTTAGACGTGGATATTTTTACAACGAACAGTATTTTTGTTGTTTTGGGAGCGATATTCTGTTTACAACTTATTTTGAGAGGAGGGAATAATTAATTCAATAATCTTTATTCTGGTATATATATATATATAAATATGTATATAAAGAGAGGTAGGGAACAAAATCAAGTGACTGACATATTTATAGTCGAATGGAAGAACAAACTTGTGTTAGAACAACATGACGTGGTTAGTTCTTACTATTTAAGCTTGATATCAGTTATTATAAGGCGAAGTGTTCTTTGAACCATATGATTCCCAATAAATTCATTCAAGTCAATATTCACGTCCTTGCAATAAATGACTATAAAATAGAAACTAGTCAAATAGTTTTCTTATCAAAAGCATTTAGTCCCTCAATCGTCTTACCTAATTAATTAATCAAATAACTCTGGTTCGTGTTTTATTTTAGCAAGGTTGTTTTCTACAGGATGCGGTTGCCAACTTCATGCCCAACCGTCGTCTCTCATTCGGGTTTATGACCGTCAGTAGCTTTAGAAGAGCTACAGGCAGAGTTGATCAAATAACTCAGATTGTCAATATTCGCATGTTCTAGTTCATCGATCAGTAAGTCAGCTACAACGTAGGACCAGACGCATATATGCATCGGTCCATGTTGTCACACCTCATTACCACAGCAAGACAAACATCGGATTCATGGAAGCAGTTAGCTCAATGATAGTAATATATAAAAGAAAGATTTCATATAAGGATATAATACAGAGAAGAAGGAATTAGTTGATAGAAAGAAAGAGATGACGCGAATTTAATCTCATAGTTTGAGGGAAGACAGAGAGTGTATACACCTATGCGATTGTGATCGATTCTGAGTCATGTCACACATAGTTTCCAATCATTGGTTACGATAGTCACGCGGACCACAACCAAGTAGTCTGCATCTACCAACATGGCTCAGACTAGAGGTTAGTGACTTCAAGCACTGATGCCACGTTTAGGTTTGGCCGCCGCTAACTTTCTTCCAGCCATTCCCAACACTAATCAGAATTGCACGTCGTGGTGATCGATGTCCAGGCATACGCAACACGTGGCCTAACCATCTCAGTCGATGAAGATTCTAGTTCATCAAATCTATTCGATATTATAACTGATTAATGTGTGGTAAAATTAAGTTCCTGAAATGTAACCATTACTCTCACAGCTAAACTTGATCTTCAGTGAAAGCCTTTTATATACTACATATTTCTATTCCATATAACTATTATATATATTTTTATTCTGATTAATCACATATGAATAATTAGATAAGAATTAGAGCTGTAACTGTCTTTGCTGGACGAGATGTTCAAATAGAGATACCAATAATATTATGTCATTCACGTCAACAACAAGAGATTATCAAAGCTGAAGAAGCAAGTGATTTATTAATAGAAGAATTTAAGCGACCAACAGCAAAACAACATCAAACAACTAAGCAGACAGAGAAAATCGATTGTTACTAAGTAATACTTTAGTAATATTTAGAAGATTTTGGCAACGAAAAAACTAATAATTGTCAAGATATTATTTGACCCATTACTTCACAAATATGACTGTCATAATTTAGTAGTAGTAGTATTAATTCATATGCAAGTTGATTTATTTTATTTGTTGTTAACTCTCACAAAAACAACACTACAATAATCATTGTGATCTTAGAGTTATGAATAGAAATATAGATTTTATATTCAAGTGAGCCGTACATTGGATTTCTACGAGCTTTCATAGGTCATTCCCTGTGTTGACAATATATCGGCATTTTGCATTCTTTAACAGCGTTCTTTAAGTCGTTAGGCGGTAGAAAAGCCTGCAGATATAATGCACCGAATGCATATGCGCCACTCAACTCATTTGATTTGTCTGTGAGCTATGATGCTTCCCAGGTGCCCAAACCGAAGCACGTGGTTTTCTTAGAACGCCACGCTCGGAGATATTATTTGACTCATTACTTCACAAATATGACTGTCATAATGTAGTGGTAGTATCAATTCATATGTAAGTTGTTTTTCTTTTATTTGTTGTTGACTCTTACAAAAAAAGCACTATACTAATCACTGTGATATAGAATGAATATCTAAATGAGTAGTACATTAGATTTTTACGAGCTTTCATAGGTCATTCCTTTTCTCTTTTTATGGAATAAATGATCTTTTTCAAATGTCCTGACATAGCCGAGAGTGGGTAGAGTCAGCTCTCTCCTTGAAGTGCTCTCACATGGTCACGCGCATATAATCAGTGACAGGGAACACCTACTCACTGTCTCATCGTAGCAGGGGTGTTGTTCATGAAATCGAGAGGATGAAAAGCGAATGTCCGGCACTCTAACCGGGTTGATGGATACGGAGAGTTCACCCAGGGGAGTTGGGAAGCCCTGATTCCGAACCAATGGTGCACATGGGCTGCAGGATCCTGAGGGAGCAAATGGCGTATGGACTAATTGTTGGTCACCGGCTACCATGGGACTGCTACTCCTTACGATTCTCCACTTCCTTATGGATCAGACCTTTAGGTCGAAGGCTCTGAGCCTAGCCTGATAAAGAAAAACACGTGCTTCAGTTTGGGCACCTGGGAACTATCATGTATTCGGTGCCAATTTGTACCTATATTTATGTGTTCAAATGATTAAAATAAATTTCAAATTGAGATAAGTTTAAACAGTATGAAGTAAGAAATATTCCGACAGCGTAGTGCAGGGTTAAGCTATAGATAACTGCAACGACTTTTCAGCCTGCTCTTAGCCAAGCAGATAAACCAGTTGTAAGTGAATTGTTTATAGACTTACTTCCTTACTCCTGTTACTTCTCGTGGAGGGGCGTAGGTCGCCCAACAACACTCCCCATCCAACCCTGTCTTGAGCAATCCTTCCCATTTCCCCATACACTGTGTTCTTCGGCCTACCTCTTTTCCTTGAAGCACCTCAAGTTTGGTGATTTGATGATTTGCGTAATGTATGTCCTATCCATTTCCTTCATCTTTCCCTAATTTCCTCTTCAGCTTAAGCTGATTTGTTCTCTGTCACAGTGGGTTTTTGCTGATGGTATCCCTTAAATGTATGTTGAGGATCTTAAGTAAACCGTTATTTATAAATACTTGTACCATGTTGATGATATTTGTAGTAGTTCTCAGAGTTTCAGTTCCGTACAGTCGGACTGTCTCGATGTTGGGACAGAAGATTCTGACTTTGATATTGGTTGACATACAGTTGTTTAGAGTTCCATATGTTCTTCAATTATAGGAATGCGACCGTTGTTTTGCCAATCTTCGCCCTCACATATGCATCTGATTCTCCTTGTTCATCGATGATGCCACCCAGGTAAGTGAAGAATTTCACATCTCTCAGAGTTTCGCCGTCAAGTGTGATTGGGTTGGTGTTCTGTGTGTTGTATTTGAGGACCTTGGTTTTCCCATTGTGTATGTTGAGGCCTACTAATGTAAAGGGTGCTGTACACTAGTTGTCTTGGTCTTATTGTCTCTAGAGGAGAGAAATAATAAATATTATGAAGTGTAGACAAAATTCATTTATACAACGGATCTACTAAAGGTCACTTTGTCAATGAATTGAAGAAATAACAAGACATAATATCTTTCTTATAGATTATCGGTCTTCTGTGTGTGAGATTAACAACACTGTAAAACGTATGTTTTACAGAAAAATAATTTCGTCTTGTTTCATTGAATCAAATGAATAGATTTAGAAAGAAATTTATTGATGATTATTTCCTGCAGAGTGACATAAACAGAAATAATTCTTACAATTTCTCGCTTTCCTGCAAATTACTCAACATCAATCATACGCTTTCAAATGTTGTTAGAAACATCGAAAGTGAGTTCTTGATTACATTGTATCTGGAGTCTTTTCGACCGCCTAACGAACTAAAGGACGCTGTTAAAGAATACGAAATGCCAAGTTATTATCACTAGGCGGTTTGTGATTCGCATTCCATAGACAATCTAGAATCGTATGTTAAATTTCTTCGTTGGATAATTAGTGAACACAATGTGTACAATCTCATCATATTTAAATTAGTGAAACGTGCCCATCTTCGTGACTTGCATCGCAGTTCATCAATGAATTATCTGTATAACCCTGAGTATGCACTGGATTGAAATAACGTAGTAATGTAGTGGTATTTTTGATGTCCTGATGAATTACTTTACGAAATTTTCCTCCTTTATCGCTTTCAAAATTCGTACACTTAACATAGTCTAGCAGTAGTTTCTTGAGAGTTGCATAAGGAAGTGAAATAGGCTTTTCTGGTAAAGCCAGAGAATTAATATGCTTTACGCTTCTTTCCCGATGGATATAAGGAAATGTGCTACAATATTAACATACTCAACATCTTCCTTGATCATAGCCTAGATTTTGAATCTTTCCAAGTAGTCCTCAAAAGTATCAAAATCTGAATTTATATCCAAGCATTCCATCACAGGGTTCATCGCGGCGCCAATCTGATAATTAGAAGTATTTGAATTATAGTACAAACTGGGAATCGCAGAAATAACCCAACTCGATCAAGATGTACTAGATAAGCACGAACGAATGCATTGTATTTGGAATTCGAAATCAAGCAGTCAACAACTACAAAGTAATCATTAGTTCATGCAAACACTACAGAGGCTCCTTAGTAGTGCACATCCACGATCCCGCCTCGCGAGATTCAAACCCATGACCTATCAGTCTCATATTTGGACGAAACGGCCATCCAGTGTTTCAAGATGTATCAGATAAGCACGAACAAATGCATTGTATTTGAAATTCGAAATCAATATAGTAATCATACCAATAGATGAAACCTGATCTGTAGAGGAATTCTATTGTTGACTTTGTAAGATCAACGGAAAACAACAGATAAATCATCAGTCACCCTGAGATGTTTCCACGTTAGATGACAGATTAATAAGCACTGATCAGTTTACAAAGTCTTTTCAAGGTCGAGGATGAATAACCCGCATCTATCAACTGCACATCATAAATTGACTTGAAGCACCAGTGTTCACATTCTGTACTTCTATAATCTGTTTGTGTAATATCTTCAATCATTTTGGTGAAATTTTGTTTGTGATGTACAGCCACCAAAGAATTCGTATATCTCCGGATAGTATAATAGGGTATTCAGAGATTGGTGTTATTCGTGAGATGTGAATTCAAATTACGGAAGGGGGACACAACATTCCTATTCGATATGAGTAGACTCATCATCCAGATTGTGGATGGAGTGTTTTGTTTTTTAGAAATGAACAATTTCGAAATTTATTAAATGTTTTACACAACGTCTTCTGTTTATGTCAGTTTAGGATTATCCACAATTCTTTACCTCCATTTTGAAGAGAGTGAAGGTAAAGTAATGGTACCAATGTCGTGATATTCAGTTATTTAAAATGTTCTTCCAAGCGAAACGTTATACCTGTTGCAGAAGCGTTGAAACCTATAGAGAATAAACCTGTTGGCGAATTCAAGTTTATTGCATTTTACAGACATTGTATTCTTTCAACAAAATATGAACAATCAAAACCTATAAATAAAAGTCATGATTCGAAAAGAGTATGTGACAATTGTTATATCTGGTTGTCGCTAATTGTTGTGCTGGAAAAACGCTGATCATTTATACTCGGAAGGAGGGACCTCTGTGATTCCAACCACGCGAAAGTAAGAGCAAAAAGACTGTTATAAGAGAAGATTAGGAACACATTACGCCGTTAAATTTAGTAGACGTAGGAAGAATTAACAACAAGTAGATAGAACTAGATACGAATGAATATTGGTACAAAGCGGCTCTAAATGTATTCGCTACACTCAACACACTTGATTTGTGTGTGAGATATGATAGTACCCAGGTGCCCAAACTGAAGCACGTGTTTTTCTTTATCAGGCTAGGCTCAGAGCCTTCGACCTAAAGGTCTGATCCATAAGGAAGTGGAGAATCGTAAGGAGAAGCAGTCCCATGGTAGCCGGTGACCAACAATTAGTCCATACGCCATTTGCTCCCTCAGGATCGTGCAGCCCATGTGCACCATTGGTTCGGAATCAGGGCTTCCCAACTCCCCTGGGTGAACTCTCCGTATCCATCAACCCGGTTAGAGTGCCGGACATTCGCTTTTCATCCTCTCGATTTCGTGAACAACACCCCTGCTACGATGAGACAGTGAGTAGGTGTTCCCTGTCACTGATTATATGCGCGTGACCATGTGAGAGCACTTCAAGGAGAGAACTGACTCTACCCACTCTCGGCTATGTCAGGACATTTGAAATAGATCATTTATTCCATAAAAAGAGAAAAGGAATGACCTATGAAAGCTCGTAGAAATCTAATGTACTACTCATTTAGATATTCATTCTATATCACAGTGATTAGTATAGTGCTTTTTTTGTAAGAGTCAACAACAAATAAAAGAAAAACAACTTACATATGAATTGATACTACCACTACATTATGACAGTCATATTTGTGAAGTAATGAGTCAA